CCAGCGTAGATATGAACCATTTCTCACGAACCACATTGCGAGTCAATAATCTTTTCATAATTCTAACAAGAAAATTAAATACGCCATGGTGTTATATCCAGCTCCAGACATGACACATATATGGTGACACATAGTGTCTTCACCTTAGATTGACACCTGAGCATGACATATTCTGTGATCGTTCTGTCTCACCAAACATGAACGCATGTATGATCTGAATGTAGTCCACGGACAATAATCATATGTCGACCCCCCTGGGGTTGCAGATAATGATACGTCCCCAGTTGTGACTGAATGCTTCGGGTGGTAAGGCTTGGTGACGTGGTTTGTTTGTTTGTTGTTTATTGCTGCGTCTTGCTACCCGTATACAGTAAACATCAAACAGTCACAAACAGGCTTAATTGTATTTTCCTCAAAACGACGTTAAAAATTAATTAACACAACCCACATTCTCCATCACAGTCACATTCCTGAAGGCAATAGTAGCTATTCTCGAAACACATTCCAGCAATGTCAGTTGTTTGACAAAACATATCAACTGAAATCTAAACCAAGCCTTAAATCTGACGAAATGCAGCTAGCTTATATATTCCAACTCCAGTTGTGTTCAACACATCATCTCACAAAGCAATGTTGTATATATAATACTTAATTGTTATGGGATGCTGGGAATGCAGGCTATTTAATGCAGGTCGTGGAAGGTGAAGAATGCGGATGTTTCCCACTCTTATTAACTCCAACACAAGGATGTTGTCATATCCACATCCAAACGTGAACAGTACAGTTTACGGAGTTTGTTTGAGATATCCACTATCACTCAAGTTGGCGAACACCAACTCAATGGCCTTGCATGAAATTTCACAAACACTGCCGGAATTGATTTAATTACCAATACATTTGTTTGTTTTTTAAACGCCGCACTTTTCATTGTTTCAGCGATATGACGCCAGTCTGTAAATAATCGAATCTGGACCAGACAATCCAGTGATTAACATCACGAGCTTTCATCTACGTAGTTTGGATACGATGACATGTGTCAACTAAGCCAGAAAGCCTGACCACCCGATCCCGTTAGTCGTCTCTTACGATAAACAATTATAACCCGAATTTTCACGGGTAAGTTAGCATTACTGCCCGAATCGTGTCTTAATGGCTTATCATGTTAGCCAAAAGTAACATTACATCAGGTGAAATAACGTTCTGGGAAAGATATTTGATTTCCAGGTCAACTGATATTTGTGGGTGAAAGGGTTACCCTGGAGCTATGCATGTAAATAAGGCGGCTTAACGATAGGAAACCAGACAATATTTCACTTCTGGGTTTACTGTTTGGGGCTCCTGAACAATGAACAAAACACACCGACACGTTGTTGCCCCTTGCTTCCCGTGGGAGATTCGGCGAGCTCCTATATTTGGCTTCCGCTTTTGCATGCTGTTGTGCATTGAACTTAGTATTGTGATGCAAGCTCCCGTTTCCCACGCCATGTTCCGGTGTAAGACAATCAGCTACAACTGGGGGTGATAGAAAGTGCTGGCGCATTGCTCGATAATAACGGTAATACATTTGTGTAGATGCATTGTTTGTATATGTTATTCTTACATTCAGACACTGAAATATACATTCTTAAACCTTCACACTTCAAGCAAGATTACAATGCACTAGAAACTTTCAGTCTTTGAAAAAACAAAAACAAAGACAAGTTTACAATCACAACAAAAACATTTAAAAAGCCCCATAAGTGATCTGCGAAACTACGAAAACAGTCTCACCGCAATGACACAACACCAGTCTTCTCATATTTCGAGCCGTGAGTAAGTCTATGGTTCCGATTATAATGTTTCACCAACCGGTTCATTCGTGACCCACTCGTGTTATTCCGGGACAAGCCGAATAGCCTCTTCTTGGAGGTTACGGAAAGGGGCGAGTGGTGACGAATGCACCCGGTTTGGGTAGCCTTCGGTGATTGGAGTCGTGCCAAGTTTGAAAAACGTGATTCACACAATCAGTTGCCGGACTAAATACTTATTGGACTATTCAAACCGCGGACTTCGTGAGCTGGTCATTAGGTGCCTAAGACCGAAGGTGTGGGTTTGCATCCCGTATTGCATTCAACCCCCAAGAAGTCTGTCATTTCAGATAACGTTTAAAATTTATATATTTATACTGTTTTTACCTCCGTCTTCAATGAAATCAGTTTGAATCATGTATGAAATCGCTTGTGCATCTTGATCAAGCTCAGCCACCCTTAGGAATATCTCCAATGGCTGCTTGCACCAAATGCCCAAGTTATATTATTTTGATATATATAGTTATAGTTAATAGATCGACAATGTTTGACAACCAAATAACATATAATGGCAGTTTTTTGTTTGTTATCGAAACATCTTCGACAAAAACACTTTTGTGTGTATGTTAATAAATAGCAAATATACATGGTTCTGTAATGACATGGTCCACCGACCATACACCGAAACCCTCTTCTGGGTACAATGTGTGAAGCCATTTCTGGTGTGATATTGCTGTAATATTGCTAAAAGCGGCCTAAAACCATACTCACTCACTCACTCCACCGAAACAGACTCGCTTAAGGCCAAACGGCGGTGAAAGGTAAATGATGTTGTCAGTGATGTTGATGTGTTGATGCTGAATGCTGAAAGCCACGGAGACTAAATTTTGCAGTCCTTGAAATAAACATATTTTACAAAACAAAACAGTTCCTAAATTGTCTGCCAAATGAACAAACATAAACAGGAGCCAGGAGATTTTCTTCATCAACTGCAGCAATGTAGACATATCACGTATGGCAATGGCTGAATTGGGTATATGTGTTTCAGAGTGTGCATGACAGACTAACATCGCCGCCTTTAGCGATATTTCAGCAATATCATGGCGGGGGACACCAGAAATGGGCTTCACACATCGATCAAAGCCTGCGGCGTGACGCGCGAACGTTTTAACCACTAGGCTAGGCTACCACTAGGCTACCTGACCTCAAAGAACAATGACACCGGGTTGGAGCATGTCATGTCGTACAGGTTACATTAACTACTCACACAGACTGTTAGTAAAATAATTCTCACATAACACAAAAATCAAAGCGATGCTCTCAAAGGCGCATCTGTAGTTTCATCAGTTCTAAAGAAATAAAATGGAAATTTACAATTAATTTATAATAGAAATAAGATGTTATCTTGTACATACAGGTGTGAATATCACATTTTCAGAACTGCATGATACTGTTCAAGGTAGGTGTGTTCGTAAACATTGTAGATAACAGAACAAACTCTGAGATTTGAAAAATAGCCAAGACTATGTTCCGATTTTGTTCAATGACGAGTCTACCTTCTGGGTCAGACTGACAAGGTCAGACCGAGCTGACAACCTTCCCCGTGGCAAAGCCTCGGTATAACATTAACCATATTGAAGAACCAGATGAACACATGTTAATATTTGCCTGTGTAAGAATGAACACTCTGGTCAGGTTGCTCGTACTGCAATGTTCATACATGAGTGAAAAGACTGGACTTACCGCGAGAACGCTGACACCGCGTCTAGACAAAGGCCGTGGAGGACAACATTGTACTATATATAATTATACATTGGGGAAAACCCACCAGGGCAAAACAAATGCGATATTTCCCAAGCAAATGTGTGTGTGTGTGTGTGTGTGTGTGTGTGTGTGTGTGCGTGTGTGTGATGTTTATGGAGTAGCATGTACAATGTGAATGACACCGCCATAAAATGTATGAGTGAGTGAGTTAATATTTAACTTCACATCGGCAATATTTCAGCCATAGCGTGACGAGAACATATTTGACATTGAAATGTAATGTGTATATTATAAAAACCTGTCTGCAAAGGACAGTAAAACAACTAGAATATCACAATTACAACTACAACTAGTGTGAAAATTTAAAACTAATAGCACTATTTGCACAATACAATATAAAAACTGGCTATAGATCACCAACAACTGAAGGTAGATCACCAAACTAGGGACCATGGGGACTTACAGTACTTTTGCTACCTGCATGGACCCTAGCTGGATTTATATCATCCCTTCAGCCGCTGGCGATTGTAGACAAATTTAGCCTAAATTAAAATGACAAAAATACTACATTTAAAACACCTGGTAAATTTAAATTTCCTTTGAATGTTTCGGGACTTACATACCCTCTCAGGAGGACAATAATTTTACGCTACTTCAACCCCCTTTGAGGGTACAGCCCCTAACAATCTCAGTTACTAAGCTAAACTACCAATAATAAAATATGTATCTATTTACAAATCAGTTAACAAATCTAATTCTTTTAAAAATGCAATAATTAAATGAGAACTGATATTGTTAAAAAGATCCTGCATGATTCGTGATTTGAAATAGATATCCCTTGTGATGGAGTACTCAACACAGTCAAGCAAGACATGCTTGACCGTGATTCGTTCATCACAAGGGATGCAAAACGGAGGATACTCACCTTTCAATAGGTATTCATGAGTAAATCTTGTGTGACCAATACGACATCGTCGTATGATGACCTCTTCAAATCTGGACTGACAACCCAAGTAGGTGTAACCGATAGTTGGTTTTATTGCATGTCATTTATTGATATCTACTTGGGTGTCCCACTTCTTCTGCATCAGGTCACGGATATAAGATCTGATGTTAGATTTATAATCAGAGTATGGAATAAGAAGTGGTGTCACAGATTTGTTGAGTGCTGCCTTGGCAGCAAGATCGGCCATTGTGTTCCCGGAAATGCCAACGTGGCTGGGTAACCAACAGAAGACGATGTCGTATTGGCCAGTAGCATTATACAATTCAATAATTTCTATTTAAAGTGGATGTTTGCAAGAAAGATTTTTAATCGCCTTAAGGCAAGAAAGAGAGTCAGAAAAGACTATATTTATTGTTTATATTTAGGGTGTTTATTAATATATTTTAAGGCTGTTAATATGGCGTCAGCTTCCGCTGTGAAAATAGAACTGTTATCAGCCAATCGAGAAGATATTGTTCTGGATCCAATGACAGTGGCACAAGCTACAGCGCCACCATCCTTGGATCCATCTGTAAATAAGGATTTATATGTATTATATTTATTTCTTAATTGAATAAATTCTTGTTTATATTCTAATTCATTTGTTTCTGATTTTTTAAATATGGTTAATGTTAGGTCAACTTGGGGCCTAACCAATTGCAAAGGAGGAGAAGAAAGAAGACGGGAAGGAGCTATATTTTCCAGCTCCATGCCGGCAGCAGAAATGAATGGTTTAATTCTGTGCCCAAGAGGCGGAACAAGAGAAGATTTTTTGTTGTATAAATCCTCATAGAGGGGATTAAAGACAGTTATATGCAGGGTTATTGTTGTTAGAGTACAGTTTAGTAATATACTGTAAAGATAGTTTTATGCGGCGTTGTTCAAGAGATGGTTCATCTCCCTGAACGTAGAGGCTGTCAACAGGAGAAGTTCGAAAATACCCAAGAAAGTCTTAGGCCTTGGTGGTGGACAGAATCAAGGATTTTTAATTTGCTTTTGCAGGCTCCACCATATACAATGGATCCATAATCAAGCTTCGAACGGACCAGTGATCTATATAGATGCAGGAGGGTAGCTTGATCCCCTCCCCACTTAGAATTGGAAACGACTTTTAATAAATCTAGTGCCTTCGGGCATTTATTTTTAAGGGATTTAATATGCGGTAGAAAAGTTAAATTGGAGTCGAAAATTAGACCCAAGAACTTGGCCTCTTTGACAACTTTGATTGGAGTGCCATTTAAATTTAGTTTTGGGTCCTTATGTGGCTTATATTTTCTACGGAAGTGTATACAATTAGAATTTGACTTAAAAGATTTAAAGCCGTTTTCAAGACACCATTTATTTATTTTGTTTAAACACAATTTCAGCTGCCGTTCAATAGTATGCATATTTTTCCCACAACAAGAAATATTAAAATCATCCACAAACAGCGACCCATCGATTGAATCATTTAAAACCTTGGCCAAACTATTTATCTTTATACTAAAAAGTGTGACGGACAAAATGCTGCCTTGTATCCACTGTGATGTGACAGTAACCAGCCTTTATGGAATTAGGAGCAGTTGGAGTGGAAAATGAAAACAAATAGGCATTCGTTTGTTGGATGTCATTGTTTTTCCGGGTAGTGAAACGTTTTACGTATAGCACACCTTGTTCCTTCATCTCTGAGGCAATATGAATGTTTAGCATATCAGCAAATGCCGGTCTCGGTCTCTCACTATGCCCTTGCTGGTGTTAAGCGTTCGGTGGGCAGAGACCGATACGAAAATGCCGACAAAAGATTTAGTTGACAGGAGGTTAGTTGCCTGTTGTCTCTTACTGCATTCAACAAGTAGAGAACCTGTCCGCAAACGTTTAACGGTTTTACTATCTCCTGCAATGCCTTGTATGCCCTTCGAAACGGCAAAAGGGTTCAGCTTTAAAGGAGTCTTGTCAACGGTCTCAAGCACTATAAAACGTGGCCAGTATTCAACTGATGTGGTCGGTCTTTTATCATTAACATCCGGATCTGTGTCAAGAGGACGGTTTTGTTTGTAATAGGGGTTTCGTAAGCCATGGTTAGTGTTTAAAGGTTCATCATCCGAGTTCCCCACCCACCACGGAGTATCACAAGGAGAATGCTAAAAACAAGCGGGTCTCCAGCTTGCAGCACCAAGGATACTCGGATGATATACTCCAGCAGCAAAATTAAAATAGTAATTCTTCCACTAGATTGGCCCATGAGCCACCGCCTTCTGGGCATAAGACTCTAGGCAAAGTTCATAATAACAAGTCAAATGCTGTTACATAAACAACGGGCGCCAAGACCAAAATTTATACAGTTTCAAATCAAATTTTGTGCAGTTACAGAACATCCATGCACAGGGCTTGGCATGACCAGCGATTGGTTGAACCGGGCCCATTCAACCCCTCGTCTAGGTGATGTAAGGGGCGAAGTGGTGTGTTGGGCAAAGGAACACTGTTCCTGGACCCAGTGCCCTCAACCACCAGACTCCCGTCCTCCACCGACACAGGGGCGCAACCCACGGCCAACAGGTTGGTGCACCAAATATACCCCCGGGTCCACAACGGGGGGTTGAAGAGCGCTTAGCGTTACCCAGCACCCACCACGAGGAGGTGGCTCTTCACGGGTGCCCATAAAATGTATGTATATAGTAAGATGTAGGGTGTGCATTTCATGTACAAGATCAATTAATGACGACTCCCTAGTCCATGTGTATAAAATTAATGACGCTCCAACTTCATAGAACACCCACCCCTAAAATAATCACTACTCCTTAGCCATACATTATGAACGGTCCCGAAAGCGGACTCATATAGTGTCCTCTAACTGAGATACTATGACACAAGTCTCTCTGCCTGCCTGTCTGTATGGAAACTTCATTCAGACACACCAGTCCCTGCCATAATTTTGTTTCAAAGCCAGTTTGTGCTTGTCCCACCTCGAACTTCAGTCAGTGTTCTACTGTCCAGCCATTGAATCAACATCGATACCAAACTCAGACAGAGCGTACTGACTCCACGATGACAAGTACTCTAAATAATGCCGAGCTACAGGGAAACAGCAAGTGGAATCTTTAAAAATTGATTGTATGACGCATCATGCTATCACACCATCGACGATCATCTCTCTGGAAAGACGCTCTGTCCACTTGCTCTCAGACGCGATGCACGCAGCAAAGAAAAGGGACGTAACTCTGTGCAACTACCTGCGCTCCCTCTGAAGGTTACACAAAACCAAATCTTTTCCCTGTAGTGACGTTATATTTTTCTAAAATATTAACTAAGCCATCAAGAGTTAATACATACACATGTGTGCATAGTCTGGCCTTAAAGAAGCAATAAGAAAATAAATATGATCATCTGCGCCAAAAAATATTCTGAGTACCGGAAGCTAAACAGACCAATCCCAGTTCCGCACAAAATGTCAACCGCTTGAAAATACCTTCAGTATAAGTCATCATGTAAAACAGGGCAGCACTAAATATTAAAAAATATGGTCAGTTTTAATTACTGGATGGTTGTACATGGACGTACAACACACAAATGTCGTACACAAAATGACCCAATCAAAGCTGTCAAATGATTCAGTCTGCACTGACGGCTCCGGACGAAAAGTGCTTGTTAAAATATGGACTCTGATTTAGTGTAGTTGTAACCTGTAGAACCAGCAGTAAATCATACAGTACATGCACAACAGAATCGTTCAGTATCAGCGTCGAAGGTCGAGCTGATGTGCTATGCAATTAATGTTGCTTAAACGGCTATACAAGGAACTTCATTACTGTATGACTAGATACAAAGACCCTTTGATCTGAAAAGAGTTCGTACTGAACGCCTCGTGAACACAAGATAAGATATAAAAAGCAAGATATACTTCATATTCATTCCCAGATATTGACGTGAATTAATGAAGGACGAAAGTTTTGCATAAGTTACATGTACTATTATTTCTGCAGCCACTGTACGTAATGTATGATAACATTTAGAATTATATAGCACTTTGGTCCTGATCACAAAGACCACTTGACCTAGTATTGTCCAAGGACGTATCTAGATCTTACCTTGGCATTTTACCGCCTGCTCTTTAACCAAATTAAAATCGTACCTAAAGGGGAATGTCACACACTGTAGAAAGAATCACAAAAGGCTTCTTAACGATGAGCTGGCGAAGATATTCCGGGACGGAAATCAACACTGTTCCTTCCTCGCTCTAAAAGTCCAATGAGGATTTGTTGGTAACAATGGAGGCGTGGTGGGGTAGCCTAGTAGTTAAAGCGTTTGCTTGTCATTCCAAAGACCCGTTTACGACTCCACATAATGTGTGAAGTCCAAATTTCTGGTGTCCCCGCCGTGATATTGCTGGAATATTGCTAAAAGCGGCGTAAAACTAAACTCACTGGTAACAAAAGAGACAGTATATTGCTGACTGCACGTAAGTGGGTGAGTGAGTTGAGTTTTACGCCGCAGTCAGCAATATTCCAACTATATGGTGGCGGTCTGTAAATAATCGAGTCTGGACCAGACAATCCAGTGATCAACAGCATGAGCATCGATCTGCGCAATTGGGAACCGATGAAATGTGTCAACCAAGTCAGCAAGCCTGACCACCCGATCCCGTTAGTCGCCTCTTACGACAAGCATGGGTTACTGAAGATCAATATTGTAACCCGGACCTTCACGGGTAGACTGCACGTGATAGAACACGTATAATAAGACGCCCAAGTCGACGCCTATTTTCTCATTTACCGATTTTCAAAAATACATTTAGTTAATGCAAGTGGCTTCTTACTGCTTGTATAAAGATGAGCCATGTCTGTGACTTCAGGCAGTCAACCCTTCGACTATATACAAACACCGCTGTGTCGAAGTTGAAGGGGCCTACGCCAATGCTTCGAGTTATCCGAGGTTCGAATCAACCGCATAATACTACACAAACCAAGTTAAAGAACATTCACAACTGGAAGGCTGTGGTTTGCAATACTCAACAGCTGCGACGTATAAACCCTTGTCATAAGAAACAGATTCATTGACTTCTTTTGAGCACTATATAGCCTTAAAGGCATCACACTGCTAATCGACATCGGAAGTTGTCGCCTTATATACTCCACGTTAATGTAATGTCATACTTGAAGATAAATAATTAATAACAGTTTAAGCGTCGACGTCTTTTTTACGAGTTCTGGCAGTTTGGCAGGAACGTACGTGTTTCAAAGCCATCATAACGCTCAGTTGGTCGTGACGCCGTATCAACCATACACATGGAAAAAAGTATCGCAACACCTATGATTTTTAACCCCCATACGGCCATTTATATTAATATCATTATTATTCACTGAAGGTATCTTTTTCCCATAAACTTTAAAACTGACCTTCACAAAGTAACATTTTACAAGATATAACATACAACATAAGCAGAGTCTCTCTCTCTCTCACACACACACACACACACACATTAACACACACACTATGTTTTATAGAAGTTCTTAGAGCCTTATGTTTCTTAGAGGCGTATGATAAAGTCGTGAGAATAGTACACTCGACTCTCTTAATCTTCTTATAACCTGAACGGCGACTTCTCCTGAATGTGGAAATGGTTTTGTCGCTTAATGCTATACATCCTGGGTATTAACATCGATTCAATGGTATCTCCGGACAAATCTTAAAAAATACAAGCCAGACATGGACAGGAGCGTATATACAGACTTATAGATATATAGATACAAAACCATATGCATGCTCGTTTAAACCCAGAATGATAGGACAGGGTTAACATGAAGGAAACATATAGATAACATAGAACATGTTCACATACCTTGTGCTGCGTCTTCATCAGGAATTCTACACTGAATCAGATGATATAAATAGAGCCATGTAATGTATGACGTCACACTGCGGTATTACAGTCTTAAGAAACTGACATGAGAAATCATTATGTAGTTAAATATTTTTAATTAGTAGGAAATAACCAGTAAACATGATGGATGTCACAGTCATGGGTGCATTTTTTAATACTCTATCCACGCTAATATTCCGAAACTTTATTAGTTTAGGCGTGTATTAATAGTTTTATTATGCATTAATTGTCCTTCTAGATTAAATTAGATGACACGTACATACATGTCGAATCATTAACTGTCTGGTACAATAATTATAATGAACCCAAGTATATAGCGCTGTACTCCACGGCGCACCGGCACCCTCTACTCACATATAATTGATGTCATCATTATATTTACCAAACCTGAAAACAAGCGAACCAGAAAGATAATATAACCAGGTTGCATTTACTCTGTGTGAATGTCATAGGGCAGAATATTATTTCCTACACAAACTGAGAATATATAATATGAATATATTGCAGAAAACCCATATATATTTTTAACATAATTATGAAAAGGTCGTGCAAAACAATAACTCATAAAAATATAATGATAGCCGTCCGAATGATATAGGCATTGATGAACACTAACTTTTTCCAGAACAAACTTATTATATACAGCAAGGGGCAAGAGAAAATGTACCTCAGTTAATTTGATCGTTTTATGTTCATTTAAAAATATTATATACACTAAAATGAACTGGTGAAAAACAATCAATCATACACATTTCCTCTTTCCGCACAATTTACACCATGTCAGTCATACTATGGGTCGTGTGGCTGTACATTCAGTTCTAACCCCAGTCTTTATAGAAGCATATATATTTACACAACATCAACAAACAACAAAGTATTTGTTGCAGAGATAGTCCAGTAGACACAAAGTAATGTTTGATAAAGCTACATACGCAGATTATCCAAATAAGCCCCCAGTGTTTCAAAAGTATACCTTGTTATTGCAATAGAGAGAGGTCTTTCTATCCACACACACACACACACCGCAGCGGCGTCAGTACAAGGTATTCATTGTGTATACCCAGAATATCCTCTGTAAACTCTTCTCTTTGCAATGTTGCTTGCATCAAAAACTCATTTGATATCAACAAAAACGCGTGAAGTACTTCCCTATTCACATTAGTCCAGTTAGAATAGGTATTTAAACGTAATATCTCTTTAAAACATAAAGGACGTTTGTAATCTACACAATTCATGCATTTAGAGGGAAAAGGCATATAACTGATATATTATAATAAAACAATACAATGCATTGCTGTTTTCCCATCGGTGCATGAATCTAAAGCGCATGATTGCTATGTTTGACATATACATTGTACCTATTGTATAAACATCAATCTTTAAAGGACGCCATGAAGCAATACCCAAAGACGCGCGGATCTTAAGTAACACGTGGATAAACTAAGCAATAATAAACCTACCTTTCTTTACACGTCACCACTGTTATTATTAACAGACAGAACTTATGTGTAGAAAAGAGTCAGTACCACTAAAGCAGTAAAATATTACCATCCTCGTTTGGGGATAAAACAGCGCATGGAATGAGGCTGGCGAGGCAAACAGAGAGATAGACGGATGGTTGATAATAAAATGTTGTGTTTTTTTTTCAAAAGTATACATAACTGATACACCCTAAATCCAAAGTTTTAAGCACGTTGGTGTTACAATTGGTTCCTTTGTTCTTGTAAAAGTTTGAAGGTTTCGACCAATAAATAAACAATTCCATCACTGGACAAAAAAGACTTTTTTTTATTCGTACCTTAAAACTTTAATATGATCACAGATTTCATTGTACTATTTTTATGAGCGTTTGTAAGATCAGGACTGAGTAGAGAGTGCAACATAACATCCATCCTTAACACGTTCATGGTAATAAAAATAGGCTTTGTCATTACTTTTTTTTTGTAGTAAGCGCTGTGAGTGTGAGCAGTTTGGCTGGAAAAGGCAAGACTGTAGAGACTTGAGCACGTGCTGCACGAAATTCACATGGCTTCAGCGTGACACGACGGCTTCGTCGAAGCACAGTGACAGAGGCTACACCTTTGCAATTGACACATTAATAGTTTGAGAACTATCGATGGATTGCAATTGTTAAGTCTCCGATAGCAATTAATCGATGGTAGAAACGAAAAACTATCGATGCATCGATATCGATTGTTTAGTAATTGACTTCTGTTGATACATACGCAGAGCAAAATACAAGAAGTCCCCGATTCGCTCACTTTGATTTAGAGTTATCCGCCCCTTTACCTGTTCACTTCGTCTGGGTTACAAGTTTCTTGTCAGTTATTAAAAGAGACTGAAACTACTTCA